TGGGTAAAAGGAAAACCACTTTAATTCTACTCTGGGCTACCTCATAAGCTTGAAACCAACATGGTTGTCTTAGTTAGCGTTTCTATTGCTGCAACAAAACACCATGGCCAAAAATCAAGTTCGGGAGAAAAGAGTTTTCTTAGTTTATACTTCCACATTGCTGTTCATCACCAATAACAATCAGGACAGGAACTCAAACAGGGCAGGAACCTAGAGGCAGGAGACATGGAGGGATGCTGTTTACTGACTTGCTTCCAATGGCTTCCTCAGCCTGCTTTCTTATAGAACCCTGGACTACCAACCCAGGGATGGCCTTACTCACAATGGGCTGGCCCTTCCTCAATTGATCACGAATGAAGAAAATGCCTTATAGACAAATCTTATGGAGGCATTTTCTCAACTGTGGCTCCTTTCTACTATTGCTGTGTCAGGTTGATATGAAACTAGCTAGTACAACTGACCCCTTATCAACTTGACACACAAATATATCACTATTAAGCCACACCCTTCCTTTCTTATTCATCACCAAGCTCTCACATTAAAAACATAAATAACTTTAAAAGTCCCACAGTCTTTACAAATTCAAACACATGAAAATTTCAGTTCTTTAACATAACCAATATCTTTTAAAATCCAAAGTCTTTTAAAATTCAAAGTCTCTCAACTGTGGACTCCAGTAAAATTAAAAAAAAAAAAAACTTTTTACTTCAAGAGGAAAAAAATCAGGGCATAGTCACAATCAAATTAAAGCAAAACCAAACTCCAGTCACCCAGTGTCTGGGATCTGGTTCTGATCTTCTGGCCTCATCCAAGGAGTCTGAGTCACTTTTCTGGCTCTGCCCTCTGCAACACACAAAGCTTGTCTCCTAGGCTCTGGCTCATTCCACGTCACTGCTGCTGCTGCTGTTTGTGGTCATCCCATGGTAATGGCCTCTCTAAACTGCTGGAGTTCCTTGCTGCAAATGGGCTGCACTTTCACCAGTATCCTCTGATAGGCTCTCTTCATGGTGCCAAGCCTTGACTTTTCATGACCTTTTTAAGTCCTGGGCCTTTAACTGCCACTGAGACTGCACCTTCACCAATAGCCTCTCCTGTTCTCACATAGCACCAAACCTCAGCTGCTCTCCATGACCCCTACATGTCTCCAAAACCAGCATCACCTGGGTGACTCTTGCACATTACCAAGCCCAGCTGCCAACGTGAGGCCTAATCTTGGCCTCACAGCTTCTCTGTGCTCTCAAGAAACACTTCCCAGATGATTTCACCTCAGTTTTTATTGGTTCTTTGTGTACTTCACATCATGCACCCCACCACCATTCATCTCTCCCTCTCCTTGTACCCACCCTCCACCCTTGCAACCTCACACCCAGCAGAGAAAAAGAAATCTTTATGGAAGTTGTAGTATAGTGTGTTCATTGCAATGAATCATCAGTCTGGTACTAGGTCTCTGGCTTCTGCTACTCTATCAATACTGGAACCTTACTGGGACTCCTCTGGGATATCCTGTTGTCACTCTGTGTCATGAAGATACTGTAGTTTTGGATTTGTAGGACTGGCCCTTTCATGCACTCCAGCAGCTCACTGATGGGCTAGTTGTTGGGGTGGGCCAATTTAAAGCCCTTGATTGGGGCCTGGGTGTATCTCTCATGTCCTCGGGGCTAGTTCACTGGCAGGCCTGGTAACCAGGACCAGCTATACCTTACTGCCCAGGCAAGATGCAGGGCCCACTTTCCTGAGTGTTGCAGCCGGTGAGGGACATGGCCAATTCTCCTACTCTTATGACCCCAGGGCCAGCTCTCCTGCCGTCTATAAGTAGTAAGGGACAAGGGAAGGGAGGAGAGTGTCTTTTTCTTATCCACTCCACTGCACAGCAGATAAGAGGCAGGACTGGTTATCCTGTGCTCATGTCTTCCTCAGGGCATTTCTTTTTCACTCACATCGCCACAAAGCTGAAGATTTTGGGGGCCAACTCTCAGGGCCAGCTCTCCCAATACCCTGCCATCAGGATCAGCTCTACTTTGTGGCCCACTTGAGGTGCAGGGCCTGCTCTCCCAAGTGCTATAGCTGGGGAGGGACAGGGACAACCCTCATTCTCATGATCCCAAAACTTCCTTCTGCAGTGTGCAGGCCCTGCTCCCCTGAGTACCTCAGCTGCTAGGAGAATGGACAGCCTTCCTGTTCTCACACCACCAGGGCCATCTCTCCCATGATGCCCCGCTGAGAGGTGGGGCCAGAGATCTCAACATTCATTGGCTTTTCTGGACCAAAATTCTGGAGTCCTTCCACAATCCTCCCTGAAACCTGGTCAGGTCTATCACACCAATACCCCACTATGTTGGTATCAACTTGTCTTAGGGTTACTATTGCTATGATTAAAACACCATGACCAAAGCAATTTGAGGAGGAAAGGGTTTATTTAGTTTACGCTTACACATCACTGTTTATCACTGAAGGGAGTCAGGACAGGAACTCAAACAGGGCAGGACCCTGGAGTGAGGAACTGCTTCAGAGGCCATGGAGGAGTGATGCTCACTGGTTTGCACACCATGGCTTGCTCAGCCTGCTTTCTTAGAGAACTCGGGATCATCAACCCAGAGATGGCACCACCCACTATGGACAGGGCCCTCTGCCATGGACTACTAATTCAGAAAATGCCATACATACTTGCGTACAGCCCTGTCTTATGAAAGCACTTTCTCAATTGAGGCTCCCTCTTCCCTGATTACTCTAGCTTGTGTCAAGTTGACATCAAAGCAACCAGTACAGTGAGCTACCTAATTTGGCCATATGTCAAATCCGACAAACAACAGCAAAGACAATGTGTCTTCCTGAACCACTTAGGAAAATCTAGATCCAGCCTAAGTAGCTTTCAAGACCCCATCTCAAAGTGAACATTTTAAAAAGTCTGGGGAGAAGATTCAGTGGTAGCAGGCTTGCCTAGTTTGCATGATTCTCTAGCTTCAATCTGCACTACCGATTGAGTTAGAACTTCCAGTTAGAGAATGATGCTTATTAATATTGTTGCTGGGAAAATTGCTCTAGCCATTACAAGAAATTTCCAGTAACAGCCTTAAGTGTTCCCTCCCTCATACCTCATCCATAGTATTTCAAATAAAAATCTCCAGACCCCTCAAATTTCTTCACAGATTGGAGGTCTTCTCCTGATCAGCCTTCATTCATCTGAACACTCACCTAATATTCACCAACTTCCAAGGTTAGGCTGTGCGTTTTGACCTTGCCATTCAGACAGGTCTCAGGCGCATGGTGGTATGCCCTCTCCCTGTTTTTAAAACTTGGACTCTTTCTTTGGTTGAGTTAGAAAGGAGTTCCTTAAAGAACTCCTTTCACCTTCACTGCCTCCCAACAACCATATGGCTTCATCTCTTCATGTTATGCTCCTCTGAGACATATGTTGACACAACTTCCCGCATTGGCTCCTGGAGAGACTGTTTTTAGTGGCTGACTTATAGGATTCATCCCATAACTTAAATCTATTGAACAGAGGGTTATTAAAGGTAAAACCATGTTGTACCCAAATGGTGATTCTTTTAGCAATGAAGATGGAGATGTCTTCAGACACTTCCAAGAAATATATTTTACTCATTTTATAGATGGGTAACTTGAGGGAAATGAATTCCCTTGGGTCTCATCCTGCTGTTTGTTCCTACCACTTTCCCCCTAGAACACCAGAAAGGGTACATGCATAGAGAACATCTGAAAATAAACTCCACAAAACATATTGTAGGGCATAAGGGCACAGGTCAGTGATAGAGCATTTGCGGAGCAGGCACAGATCATTAAGATCTATTAGCATTTCAGTAATAAATTTGAAAGGGATGAGGTCACATGGAAGCATTTGGACAGAAAAGGAGGGGTATAAATTGTGTAAATCTAGTACCAGTGTATGAAATCTCAAAACAATTTCAAATTTTTAAATAAAAAAGAGGGCTGGGAAGATGACTCAGAGATTAAGAGAATTCCCATCACGCACATGGCAGCTCACAACTGTCTGTAACTCATGTTTCAGGGGACCCAGCATCCTCACACAGACATATATGCAGGCAAAACAGCAATGCACGTATAAATAAATCAATAAATCTTTGGGAAAGAAAGCAACAACAAACAATGCCAATAATATAAAACCTCACACAGGCCAGGCATGGCAGCGTGTGCCTATAATCCCAGTACTCAGGAGTCTGAGGCATGCAAATTGCCTTGAGTGTGAAACCAACCATGGCCACAAGTTTGAGAGAAGTCTAGCATGTTAGTCAGACCCTGCCCCCCCCAAAAAAGCACTAAACAAACAACAACAAAAGTGTGATAGATTTTTTTAATCTAAAGGGAAGGATTACCAGTAAATTCAGACAAATCTTATTTTGTATCTTCCCAACAGGTTTCATGATATACTAAATAAATAAATAAATAGATAAATAAATAGATAAATAATCATTATATAGTGTGTTCCTAATATTCTCTCTTCATTGGTTCTCTGTATGACATGTGATAAGTGAAGAAATTTGCTTCGGGTAATGTACAGGAGAGAACTGTATATATTTTCTAGAATAACATAATAATCTATTACTTTTAAAATGATTAATTAATTTATTATTCATCCGATTATTCATGTATTGATAGATACATTGGTTTTTCAGAGATAGCTTATTATGTTAGCCAGGCTGGCCTTCAACATAACCACTACTACAAACAGTGCTGTGATGACCGTCATTATAGGTAAACGGTTGTGGTCAAATGTTTATGCATATCTGGACCAATAGTCAGAAACAGAACTCTTAGAGGTTGTAGGCATTGTCAAGCTGTCAGTAAACATGTTCCTTCTCTGAGTTTGCTAAGATCACACCCATAACAGCATATCCTCACTGTTTCAAACAGAACTGAGGCTTTCCTCCTGGTAGTGGTCTCCCAGGGAACCCTGTCCTAGGCCTAAGGAAGCCATCCTTACACTGTATGTATTTCTTTGCAGTTGTCCGGTGTTTGCGGTCATGTTGCTGCTCAGTAAAAGTTCCAACTGCCAAGTCGGAGGTTTTGTTTTGGCATCCATAGCATGGATCCTTTGTACCATCTCTGCAGGCCTCCCACAGTGGCGAGTCTGGTACATAAACGAAACCATGTTCTCCGAGCCTACCAGAGCCTTTGTTGGGATGTGGAGAGTCTGCCTTTACCACCAAACCATCCAACCCAGCAATGGTAGAAGGTGCCATGAATACACCTACCATGAAAGATTTATCCCTTGGGATATCCGAGTCATTCAATGCTTCTTAAAGATCTCCAACATTTGCGGATTAATTGGGACAGTTGCCACCGTTTTTGCTCTTCGGAATGTGCATACAGGGAGACCACAGAGGAAAATCCCATACAATCCATTCTTCATTTCAGCCATTTTTAACACCATTGCTAGTGCCTTCATCTTCCTTGCCGTCTTATGCAATTACATCTCTGTCATCCACAAAGCAGGAATTCCCTTCCCAGTATCTTTCCAGATACCTTCACAACCACCTAATCAGAGAGTTGGAATTGCTAATGTAGTGGCAAGTATAGCTGCCCTCATGTTTTTAGGCAGTGGTGTTATTTTCTTTTCTTACACTTCTCCTATGGAAAACCAAGTGTTTCCTGAGATTTGAAAATTAATTTACACTTTCATCACCTTGAAATCCCCAATTCCCAGGGGTTATAGCAGGCATTTTTAAGACCTTTACTTAAGTTTTTCAAGGACTCAGAACCACACCCAAATAGCCCATGACCTAAAAATGGCCAAGTTGGCCTATTTTCTGTCTTGTTTCATTATTTCATTGGTTGGATTGTGGGATTTCATGAAATAAAATCTTGTTCACTTGCTGATTTTATGATATCTGAGTTTTGACTACTGTGGTCTATACATGGAAATGAAAGTTAGAGTTCATTTATCTCTCACATCACTTTCTGAATCCAAGGTAAAACAAAAGTAGGCCTATTTTCTCTGTCATGATACTACTATCTTTGTGATCATTTCCATATCTCATCTATAGTTACAAGGTTCAACAAGTCTTAAGATTTACATATTTCCTCCTTTCTCTAGCCCATTTAAGCCATTTTTCTTTTATTTCCAGAGTGATTTAAATTCTGTGTATCATACCCCTTTATCCCCATATACTACAATATTATTCTCTAAAAATGGGCATTTCTTGCCTGACCATATCATGCTTTTAAAGGCTTAACAATTCTCCTTTGTTATTCAGCCCCCAACCTCAATATTGGATTGTTTGATGACATATTTCTCGAACATATGTTTAAGCATACCCTTAAGACACTTTTGTTTTCTAATGCTTTCTTTATGCACAGAGGCAGAGTAGGGCTCCTTTAGTAGTGGCTTCTTTCCTCATGGTAACCATGATGTTGCTCTGTTCTTTGTATTGATGGGGATGTTTCCTCTCCCTTTCCTCAAGGGTCTGTTTGTCCTTGGAGATCTAGACTCTCACCATTCACACAGTAGTATTCATAGCTCTGTGAGCCTGAGCCCCACATAATATTTTTGGTGAAACACCTCTTTGTGCACATATACCTTACCTTACACACATTCTTAGTAATCTATGGGACTTTGTTTAAAAGGATGGTGGAGAAAGAACAGCTTCAAGTCCTGTCTGCAGGAGTAGAGGATGCAATATACATTTTGATCCTCCTCTACAATCATATTGTCTCTATCACCCTGTTCCTTTCCTTTATTCCCTCCTTACCTTCTTTTTTATTTTGTTTGTTTGGAGCTAGGGTCTTACTATGCCACACAAACTGCCCTTAAGCTTGTTAATTACAGGATGGATTAAATATGAAAAAAAATCTGCATTTATTAAAAACAGAAAGAAAGGTGTCAAGGACCTTTTTTTTTTTTTTTTCATTTTTTTACAATGAGTATATGGCAGCAGTTCTCAATCTCTGAGTCCTTTTGAACCTCTGTCTCCAAAACATATTCACATTACAATTCATAACACTAGCAAAATTAGTTATGAAGTAGCAAAAAAAAAAATCATTTTAAAATCATTTTATGGTTGGAGTTCACTACAACATGAGGAACTGTATTAAAGAATCACAGCATTAGGAAGGTTGAGAAGCACTGAAATATAAGGATTTAAGTGACTTTCAATTTACATATCTGAAGGTTGCTAAGGAAATGTCCTCATTTTCTAACATTGCCTAAAGAATGTAATGTGTAGCAAGGTCAAAAGATAACAGATGTTTGTTTGTTTTAATTTTTTTTGTTTTTGATGTTTTCAATAAACAAAGTTGTAAGGTGAATTTATGTGGGGTATCATTTAGGTCTAGTACAGGGGCTTGTTATAAACATAAGATTGAGGCTAAAGAGATGGCTCAGCAGTTCAGAACACTGACTGCTTTGTCCAAGGTCTCCTGAGTTCAGTTCCCAGCAACCACGTGGTGGCTCACAACCATCTATAATGGCATCTGAAATCCTCTTCTGTCATATAGCTGTACATGCAGATAGAGCACTCACATATATAAAATAAATACATCTTAAAAGAAACAAGGTTATATGCCATTCTAGTTCTACGTAATCACAGCCTGTCCTGACTTAAATAATTAAGGTGTCCCTGAGTATGCATAATCTGACCCTAACAATGTCATTACAATTCCTTACCATGCTATCTTGCCTCCATTTGAGATGAGAACTTTTACATATAATACTTTTTAGACAATATGTGTTTCTTGTGTATTTATGCATTATTTACACAAAAACATAGTTCTCACTTTGAAAGGAATAAGAGATAGTTTATTATGGAATCAAATATGAATGTCTGGAAACATGGATTCAAATATCAAAGTCCTCAAGTTTTTATTATTACACAACAAAAGAAAGTAATAGCTTATGGCACTTTTTTTTCTTTCTTTCTTTTTTTTTTTTTTTTTTTTTGAGTCAAGATTTCTCTATCTTGGACTCATTTTGTAGACCAGGGTGGCCTCAAATTTACAGAGGTCCATCTGCAAGGCAACTTAAAAAAAAAAAAAAAGATGAGTGAGAACATCAAGCCAAGTAAAAACAAACTGCTACTATAGGCCTTGTATATTATCTTTCCCTTTTGGTTGGCAGAAGCTAGTGGTCTCTTTGTACATTCCAAAAAAGAATACTAGATCAAAAAGAGGTGAGAATGAATGGTTAGCAAGGGAGCTGAACATTGACCAAGATGTCTCTAGACAGCCAACATTCCAACTCTCCACAACCATGGAAATAAAATTGAATGAGTCAATTAATCTTGTACAGTCTTTAACGTTTTTTTTTTCTTTCTATAGTTTTCACTTTACCATATTACTGCCTCAACACTGTAGTTTTTAAATATTTTGTGCCTAGATTAGTTGGACTTCTCTAGAGACAAGCATATGGTGGTTTGAATGAGAAATGTATTTGTTCCAATACGTGAGACTATAACCAAATATTCCACACATGCAGTTCAGTTTGGGGGGGGTTATGAATCTTCCAGAAGATAAGGCCTTGCTAGAATAAGGAAATAATTGGAGGCAGGCTTTGAGGGTTTAGCAGCCATGTCTTATTTCTCTTCCCTCCCTCTGGTGCCTGTGTGAAAATGGGAATGTCATATGAAAATGTGATCGGCCAGCTTCCTGTTCTTTCTGCCATGCCTCCCCTACTATTATGGACTCTTCTCTGGAACCATGAGCCAAAATAAACTCTTCTATAAGTTGCTTGTAGTCATGGTATTTATTCATAACAGCAGAGAAGTAACTAATAAAGAAGTTAGTGCCAAAGGTGGGTTGTTTCTGTGAAAACCTGACCATATTGTTTTTGGAGAAATGTGAAAGACTTTAGAACTTTGGATTAGAAAAATAGTTAAATATTGTAAGCAGAGTTTAACAAGCCTAGGATCCCAAAAGACAGTAGTGCCGAGAATAATGGAACAGTAGACCTAGCTTGTGAAGTTTTAGAGGGGAGCAAGGTCTCTACTGGCAACTGAGAGAGAAGCTATTTATATGACATTTTGACAAATAGTACAGCTAAATTTTTCCAGTATCTCAAGAACTTGCCTGGGGTTAAATTAAAAAAAAATGAACTAATTTGACAGAGGAAACTTCAGGACCATATGGGAGTCTGTGGCATGGTTTTTATGGATTATGCTCAGGCAGATCTCCAGTGAAAAAGCAACAAATGGAGCAAAAATGTATAGTTTGGAGAAGAAAACCAGAGGAAGCTTAATGTTATGGCAAAGGCATAGAAGAAGCTGCAGTTTTTCAGATCAGATTATTAAAAGGTCTCTAGGATATCTGCCCAAGGATGCACTGTGACCTATCCTATAACCCAAGGGGCTCTGTCTGGGGCTGGTCACATATGTAGAAGGGGTTCTAGCACCTTCACCATCTGAAATGGCTCTTGAACTGCCTTATACACACAAGGGTCTCTAGGAACTTCCTTGCCACTCCACGTGCTCTGGGATTGGTGGCTTCTACACAAGGGGATTTAGCTCTTTCCACATCTGTTCAATGGGCTTTATGAACTTCCACATATACAGCAGGCCTCTACACCTTCCCCATCTTGGCTCTTGTAACTCCCATGTATATATTCTTCTTTCTTACAAAAAGAGCTGACAACACTACCACTACTTTTAAGAAAGCCACATACATTTTTTTTTTTTTGCATCTTCAGTAGGAGCCCTGAAACCTTCCACATCTGTGTAAGGAGCTCTGAAATCTTTCAGATTTGCTCAAGGGTCTCTATACCTTCTGTGTCTGCTCAAGAGGCTCTAGGATAATTCACATGTGCACAACAGGGCTTCAGATAAACCCTTTCTCATGAATATGTCCTTAGACATTTCCCCTCTCCCTAAGTGGGTCCCAGGCATTCTCATTCTAATAGCAAATGGAGATTGATCCATGTTCCCCCGTCAGACTAAGAGGGTTTCAATCCTTCTTTGCTTCTGCCAAAGGAAAGCTCAGATCTTCTCCTTCTGCTGAAATAAGATTTACCACTATTCAAGGGAACCTTGTACCTATCAAATCTGTCCAAGGGGGCTTCAGTCAAGAAAGTCTTGAGACATTTTATTTCAATTCAAGGAGATTCAAACATTGCATTTCTGCAAAAGAGGGGCTTAGGGCTTCCCATTCTGCCCCAGAGGGCACCCCTACAACCTCTGTTAATCATAGGGGCCTCTGAATATTGTACTCTGGCATAGAGAGCCAGAGTACATGGCCTCTATGGCCTCTATGCCCATGGAGACCTCATATCTAACAAGAGAGACACAAACATCCACCTTCCATCTAACAGGGTTTCATTTATGTTCCTCACTAAGGTAACATAGTTTTTTCCTTTTCTAACCAAGGAGGATTCAAAAGGGGGCTGAAATCTGCCCTCTTTTACTTAGGGAGTACCAATCCCTCCCATATAAAACAAGGGGTTCTTAAGCTTGCTCCTTCTCACCTAGGGACCACAAATACTTCTACATTTTCCAATGTGGCCTTTAAAGAACTCTACTAGAAAATGGGACATGGAAACTTATCATCTGTTCCCAAGGAACCTTCAGATCTCTGTCCAATCAACAGGGCCTTGGGCTTTCATACTCTTACAAAGGGGGCATCAGACATAGCCCTTGTAATAAAAGAGGCTTCAGAGCATGAAACTTGCTCCTTCTAA